AAATATCTCTGATTTTTGTGTTTCTTGATAACCATTAATTTTGTGTTGCAGCTTTTGGGGCCTGCTGGCCAATAGTACAATTAAATGTCCAAAATAAGAACAAATAAATAGTTCCAAAAACATAAAGGGTGAGTGGTGACATACTTTCAAATCAATTAAATGAATTTTTGGCTATTATAACAGCTTTCTTATTCCAATAAACTCTTTTTTCGTATATAAAAACAACAAAATTTAGTTAAAATTAACCTTGATACCAAAGTCTTTTTTTTAAAAACAACAAAATTTAGTTAAAATTAACCTTGACACCAAAGTCTTTTTTTTTATTATTTTATTTATTTTTTTATAAAAAAAATCAATCCATATTTTTATTTTATATTTATAAAAATAAATGAGATACACTATTTTATTTTCTTTGTTAATAAGTCAATTTTAACTCAAACCTTTGTTAAGTTAATTTGGTAAAACTCACTTTCAACTATACTCTTACTAAGAGAAACTCAATTCAAGCAGCAGTCGGTCCAAGTAATATGATTATGTAACTAAAATAGTAATATTTTAAGAGTGATGAATATCATCTCTGTATATTATAAGTCTTTTTATTTATATGTTATTTAACATTTGGGGTTCATTAGATCAGTTGAAGTAGTCTCTACAAAACATTGACATAGTCTATTATTTGGCATTGACATCTTTTAATTGTGAATTTGTACTGTAAGATACAATTGTGGACTTTGCGTTAAAGTGGTGGTACGCAAATGCATCAAAATGATTTTGTATGAAAATAACTGTACATAAACCTTCCTTTTTTTTTTTTTTTTAATCCAAAAGTCAAACAATTGAAGTATTATTTTGAGTAAATATGTACAATAAGAAATTGCACAGAAGCTTCTGATCATATAATCTTACTCTTGTCATAAATCCATCCTCCTTCGGTTGTTACATGTTGATCAGTCCCGTTATTGAAAGGAAATAATAGCAAGATTATTATTTTTTTTTAGTACCAGCTAACAAATAATGTCTTTTTGTACAATGAACAACATCACAGTAACAAAAAAATGTATTTTTTTCTAATTATTTATTAAGTGTAAGAGAACAGTGAATCTTTGATCGAATATTAATCTTTCGTACCGAAATTTTGTACACCTAGACAAATCAAACAGGGCCTAAATTAGCAAACCCTCCTTCCTCCTCTTTTCCTTTTCTTTCCTCCTCCTTATTTTCATATTTCTATGAATATTATAAGCTGCAGGTGAGATGCAAGGTTATTAATTTAAAGTTTACTTATGCTTATTAGTCATTCTATATTTATATTTTCCACAAAGGCACAATCAATGAATAGGTAATTATGAATAACATTGCAAGCAAAATGAGCTTTCCATTGGGTCATTGGTGACATAAGGGAGAGTGGTTAGAAACATGATTGGTGTCCAAATCAAATTCTGATATTTAAGTAGGTGTATATATATATATATATATTTATGTGTCCTTGTTTTATGTACGTCTATGTATGATATCATGAATCCTAAGTCCTTGTCATCACCATGTGCTTTCACTCGTTGTGAGATTCAGTGAGATTTTCCTTTGAACAAAAGTCTTTAACCTAGTTTTCCACCTCATCATCTTTACAAACTTAATAATTTGAGAAAAAAAAAAAAAAAAAAATCTTAACAAACTTAATTACACAACCAACATAAGATTCTCATTTATAACATTTTTAAATAAACATGTTTCTTCAATTCATGTACTAGTACATAAACATACTTTGTGGTTTTGATTTTAAAATCTTGTAAATTTGGGTGTCCTGAAACATTTCAAACATATATTTAAAGAAGATATTACGGAATTACATCATTTTGATTTTATTTATTTTAGTGGTCCATTTAGAACACTGAATTTGCTTGGTGGTGAATTATGGAATAATTTAAAAGGTCTGACACTATCATACAGATAAGGAAGTCTATTCAGAAACCGACACTCTTTTTTTATGGATAAAACTTAGTGGCTTTACTTTGTGTCATTTTGAAAATAAGGAAAACTTGTGCAAATGGATGGTGTGACTTGTGTGAATGAGCCTAAAGGGCTAAGAAATGACAAAAATAATTCATTCATATCTAGTTGTAGGTAAAATGATAAGTAAGACAGGGTGTTTGAATAAGACCTTTTTAATTACATTTCTCCACTCTAACATCAAGTATAGTACTTATATAACTACAAATTGGTAGTGAGTACAACCAAATTTGGAATATCTATGGCCAACCACTTTGGATGGTGACTCAAATTACTTCTTAAAACACACTTGACTTGTGCAAAATTATTGTGCAAGGTTTATTTCTTTTTAAAGTTTCATTTAAAAATAATAAAAATAACTGAAATATACACATGATTCCTAATTGAATGGTCAACCTTGGGTTTTAATGTTTATATTGCTTTCTAAATCACTCCACTATTATTTTTATTAAACATACATATATCATTTCCTTACACACTGAAACTTTGATCATATTGGGTCCACATTGCTACCAAGAGAGATGAAAAGAGAAATATTATACGGAGTATGTGTGTATGCATGTGTATATATATATATATAGAGAGAGAGAGAGAGAGAGAGAGAGAGAGTCTAATCCAACCTCCACACCTAGTCCAAACTGGATGAACAGAAAGATCCAAAAGATGATCACCAAATCTCCTTAAAAGAGGGGTGGTGACCCAATCTATACATATGCCATCCTTAATCTATGGTCGGACCAAAGTGATTAATTGTCACAACGCAATGGATTTCAACAACTATAAAGTGGACATGTACTATAAAAGATACTTCCTACTGGCATTATATGTAGTTCAAATTTTCAAGACCATACTTTATTCATTGTAGCAGTCTTTGTGTTTTATTGCCAAATAGGAAGACATGGAGATCAGGAAACTAGCCAACTAAAGTTACAATTGACTAAATACTTATAATCTACTCTACTATTTAGTGTTTCACATATAATAATTATGATGGTAAACCGCCAAAAAACCTCATAAACTTATAGGATTTTGTAGAAAATCTCCTCTAAACTTTTATTTTTGCATAAAACTCCCTTATACTATTTCAAAAAACATGTAAATACTCTCTGGAGTTTGGGGAGCAGTGCAAGACTTCACAAAAAAAAAACATTCAAGATTGTATCACAAATGGTAAATAGGATGTCATATTTCTCCACCCACCCAGTCACTCTTTCATCTTTCTTAGGTTAGTTTCTCTCTCTCTCTCTCAATATTCTCTTTCCAAAATTATAAAGATCCACGCCTTCCTCTACCATAGTCATCACAGACAGACGTCAATATTGAAACCCATCAAAATAGTCCTCATCTATATGTGAATCATACAATTGTCCATGACTAATTTGTTTATAGGTGCCTTAATTTATTTTTGAGTAATCATCCATAATGTCAAGTCAATTTATTTTTGAGTATCATTCATAATGTTAAGCCCTAATAACTATGCTGAACAAATACAAACATAATCTTAAATTTTGAAGTTGTTTTTGACAACAAGAATTATTTATATATCTTTCAATTCTTTCCATGATTAATCAAGCATAGCTTCAATATATATATATATATACACACACCACTCACACTATGTTTAAGTAAAAATCTAAAACTAAGGGGCAACTTTTAAAAAGAAATATAAGAACGATTCAAGAAAAAGGAAATTCGCTCCCAAAATAAAATTTGAGTGAGGGTTTTTTTCTTCGACTCCTAAAAGGAAAGTTAATTATGTCACATACTCTCAAAGGGAAAGCTAATTATGTCACGTCTCATTAATAATAAAGTTATGAAAAATACTTCGTGATGTGTATCATTTTCCTTATAATAGTGACAAAAATTCAACACTTTTGAATCTGAAATCCCTATAATATCCTTCTTTATTAATCTAAATGACTGTAAATCAATTTTAGATCCATAAATGAACCTGTAAGGTAGAAGGGCTATTCATTTTTGTATCATATATATATATATAGGGGTGGGGTCAAAAGTTAAATTAATAAAAAATTTATGGGGGATGTATGTTGAATGATACTTTAGCAAGGTGGGAAAGTTGTAACTTTTTTATTTTTTATTTTTTCTTTCCCTAGTGGTACTCACACATTGCCTCAAATGAATTGTTTGTACTTAGCATAAATGTTTCACAAGATGGGATATCAAAATGAAAAAGTAAAGTGAACGAAGTAGGTTTGTAAAAGTTATATAAGGTATTGGGCATGACATGTGATTGGTTGTTATTGGAGAATTTTTTTTATACAAAAAGTATAAAATAATAACTGAAACTAAAAATAGGTAGTACAAAATTTTTGTGTAAATTTACTCTGAACACATCAAATTTACATAAAAATATATACATAACGATTGGAGATGCTCTTAGAGCTAAGTTGTAACTTTCAAATAATTGATGGGATTAGTTGCATCAAAACCGTGAAAGTTGAGGGAATTTTTATTTTATTTTATTTTATTTATTTATTTTTTGTACAGTCACTCTAATTGCAATAATGACAAAAACAGTGAAGGAAGAATTGCATTCCATACTTTCAAAGTTTTATTATTATTATTATTATGCATAAATGGAGGGTGTCCACCCTCTGGGAGCAGGATTGTTCTCTTACTATACATGCAACCATCAAAAAACAAAGTCCAAGAGGAGTTGAAAAAGGCAAAAAAAAAAAAAAAACCAAAGACTGCTGTGGTCCTGTCCTAGAGTACTATTTATTTATTTTTCTTCTTCTTCATACATAATTGGTGTTGTATTGAGCTCAAAGAATCAACAATACCACAGAGGGCATACCCTTAGAAGGGTACTTTTTCCTTAAACTTGGTTGAACAGAAATTTCATAGACTCATCAGTGAAGATAGAGGATGACTAAAACTTTTATAATCACACTATCCCATAGATACTAACACTAGGATTAATGTAATCTAAAACGTTATCCAACTATGATTTAAGAAAGAATTCAACTCAAAAGTACTTCAAGAAATTAATTAACTTCAAGCTCAATTCCAACCAAATGAATACAGCATTGCAACACAAGAATTGCACAAATTAATCTCCACTCCCCTGGCCATCATGTACAATTCTCTCCAAACCCAAACCCAAACCCCATCATGATGAAATTAAGAGAACATAAAAATATAAAAAGAAAGTAAATTAAACCAAGAACTAAAAGAGAGATGGAGCTCTAAACCCACACTCAATTATGGCTATCTAGTATCATCCCAACCCCACTTCCAATGTAACCAAATACAATAGAAAGAAAGACCCTCCTCCTCCTCATACACTTCTAGCCATCATTTCTTGAAACATTCTATAAGACTCTTGTTTCTCCAACCTGAACTTCTCATGGCAATTTGCAATGAACATATCAGCCAGCTTATCAATCTCATTCTTGTCCTCCTCTGTTTTACAATTCTCATGCACCTTCTCTTCCAGCCAATTCAGGTACCCCGACAGCTGTGACTCCGCAATGTCCTCACACTCGGTAGAAATGACGGAATTCCATGTCGAATCATAGTAGGCATGATTCTTGGGGAACCCATCTAGCACCGGCGAAGGCACCGGCATGACATGAGAACTAGAGCACCAGTTATAGTGTAGTCTAAACGAACCAAACAGTCTCTTCTTGTTCTTGTCCTTGCTGTTCTTCTTTAGAACATAGTCTATGAAGTGAATGAACTGGATTTCCCTCAGGAGCTCAATCAGAATGGATTTTGCTTTGGAGAGAGCTCGAGCTACGCGACACACTTGCGAAAAGATCAGTGTGTGAACTAGGGTTTTCAGTTTCTGGGAGCTCAAGGTGGAAGATGATGACTTCCTAGAGAAATCATGGAGGTAGTCGAGGGTTTTGGGATGAGATGGAGGACCAGCCATTTCTGTGGTGGGAGATGATATGTCTTTGTTTCAAATGGAGATTTATAAAGGCTCGTGATTCCAAATTTGCCACTTCATGTTAGCTAATTTAAATAAAGTGCCAACAACTTTGCAGATTATGATACATGACTTTTGACCTTCAATTTATACTAGATAAAGACTTAGCCCTGATTGCTATGACTTGTTTGGTTGCAGAGACCACTGACTAATAAATGAACAATAAAAATGAGATATATAAGCTTTAAGGAAAAGGAAAAATAGGTTATAATATTTCAAATAAGTGCATTATTCTCTTTTAAAATGCAACAAATAAAATTATGACAAACACGTAACTCTGATAGAAGATGAATTTGTTTTTCCCCTTATTTAGGGAGATTTAGACCATGTTTCTTCTGTTAATTGATGACAATTTTAATGAATAATGAAAATTGAGAATGATATTTGTAGGATCAATGGATATGTTTTCACTTCTCAATAAATGGTATCTATTAAGAGATGAATGAATTTTTTAACTATATAAATATATATATTTAATAATTTATATTCGATCTTTAATGTTTGAAAACCCTTCTAAAAAGCAAACTCTCACCTTATAACCAAATGTCATATTTCAAAATATAAATTCGAGATTTCAAGTTCGCAAAGGGGAAAAAAACAAATGCCACCTTCCATTGCCGTTGATGACCTGAGTCTTGAAGATTTTTTTAGCAGCAAAAAAAAAAAAAAAAAAAAAAAAAAAAAAAAAAAAAAATTCCTCAATGTTCTCAATAGTAACATGCAAAACCCGCTTAATTTTTTTTGAAAGTTTGGTGCTATACAACAAGAAGTCAGAGTCGACTTTTATACCAATTTTCATGTTTGAAACTGAGCCTAGGCACATTTATGTAATTGAAAAGAAAAACATGGTCACTTTATACAGTGGTCCTCCGCTGTCTGTGTGTGTGTGTGAGAGAGAGAGAGAGAGAGAGACACCTTGGATGATGTCTACAGCAGCTGGTGCCCAAGTCTCGCGGGTTTTGGAATCCTGTGGGAGCAACTCGAAGAGGTAAACAAGGCCGATTCTTCGCCGAAATTACAAGCCCAATGTTGTGACATAAATAAATAAATAAATAAATAAATATATATATATATAATATAATCACTAATATGTTGTAATCAAACAACTAATATTACTAGTTAATATCTAGCCTTTTTTCTTGGGAACATCAAAGAGAAAACGTAAAAGTATCCTTATCCTCGAACTGTTCATCCTAATTTTCTACCTCACAATTTTTAATCCAACACACACCCAATCTTTTAGAGCTAAAATAAGAATAAAGTAAAACCCATCATCTTGGATACAACTTTAGCTAGATTTGAGAAAAGTTGAGATAACATTAATGAGTTAAGAATTTCAACAGTTGGATCTATACAAGCTTACATTGTAAGACAACCAAACACTTCCAATTCAACCATTTGATCAATCAGCATCACTATTGGGTTTCAATTGATATTTAAAACGTGTATTAATATATATATATAATTAAAACTTTTTTTTTTTTGTGACAAAAAGTAAGCAATTAGAAGGTGCCCTTCAAGGTTTGGTAATCACTTTGTATAACTAATACCAAAAGTTAAGTTATCACGTCCTATATCTTATAGACATGACAATAATAACTCTTCAAACGCGTGTTATACGATTAATACATTTGTTATCATTTGTCACAATCTATAGATTTCATCCTCAATAATTGTTTGTGGAAAATCAATAATTATTTTTCTCAATGCAGGCAAAACAGAGCTGAGTTCTTGACCTAAAAAAAAAAAAAAAATGTTAATTAGGAGACATTCAAGTGTTGAGGAAGTTACTTTCTCAATTAGTAGTATTTACTTGCACCAAAACGCCGTATAACCCAATCCAATATGACACTGGCTTTAGATTGAGGACTTCAAGGCCTTGCAAAGAAGAAGATTCTCCCTCGTGATTGAAGACAACAAGCCCACGAATTAGTTTTTCCTTTTTCCTTTTGTTGGGATTTTGAAATCAAATATATATTTATCACTATCTCAAACATTAGTTATTTTTATATATATGACAATGGGTTATTGAAAAATAACATAAAGCATCAAATGTACTTTCATGACTTGGCAAAATTATATATGTGTATGTATGTGTGTGTATGCATATATATATATATACATATATATGAGGTAATTAAGAAGCAATTACTTTTCACAAAATAGTTCTGAAACCTTCTGGAAACAAAAAAAAAATGAAAGAAGGAAATTCTGAAATATATCAATCAAATTCATTCTTTTCATAAGCAGTACCACCTTTGGGTTATGGTCTTTCAAGGGGACAATTTATTAAATATTTGAGGGAATTTACTTGCTTAAACCATTTAAATTTTGAGGTTATGGATTGTAAAGGAAAAAAAGGAAAGGTAGTAGGGTGTTTCTAATGAGATTAGGAGGAGTGAAGAGAATCTAAAAAAGGAAATAAAAGCAAAGGGAGTGGTAACAGTAGGTGAAACACTAAGCCAGCTTTAGTCTGTACACAAAGATCATCCACTCAATCACATTGGAAGATTGGAATACTAAAACCTTTTCTTTATATATTCCCTAGAATAACTTGTCATCATCACTGAAAGACCTCATGTAAATCAACATTTCTACTTTCTAGGTCTTGAGTGATTTTGAATTCCTCTTTTTTCATTTGGTTTCTTCCACTGCATTCATTTGTACAGTCTCTTTCAGAATCTTCTGGAACTAGTACATATTCCCCCTATAGAGCAAAGTACACTTACAATTGCCTGACACTTTTTTTGCCATGCCACACTATAACTAATTCCTATACAACTAAAATCCCTACCGTGCACTGGATACAGAAAATACTGGGAAAATTATGCAACTTGAGAAGCCATGATATATCTTCAGACATAGTTTGAAAGGATATGGCATACGTTCAATTCACATTAAATATTTTTTTTTTAGGCATTAAAAGTTTCGAATTGAATCTATATGAAATATTATTATCATCAAACCGAGTGATTATTTTTCCAACCAAAAACCCATGTAATTTTAACTTTAAAGACCATAACATTGAGAACCTAGACATAGAGGACGTATAAATCATAATGGGGTGTTTAAATTCTTTGATTCAAGCTGCTTCATTAACCATCACAGTCAAATAATTGTCATATTTATCTAACTACTTAGAAGCAATTGTGAAGATAATTTCATCTTCTGATATATCTAATGTCTAACATATCAAGGTCGAAAGTCAGGGTCCAGGGTCCAGCATACCTAAATGGAATTAAGAATTCGAGGTCTCTTTCGTTTTTGGTAACAAACCTTGTATAATTATTCCGACATTAGATTAACAAATGCAATCCAATATTGTCTACTAGGCAATTAATAGAGCTCAACCAAAACTAGATGAAAATAATTGATCTCATTTATTACACTAATTTTATTTTTCAACAAGAATTTAACCTTTTATTACACAAAAGAATATGATAGATCAAGTGGTTATCATCATTTCATGAATCATAAAAAGGTCTCCATGGTAAAGGCTGATCAATGATCAGCTGATGGGTGGGGGTAGTTGCATAATGCTTACAATGGGATGACCGAATGCCCATACCATAGAGTGTATTAAGCCATGAGTATGAAGTTGCTTACCGCAGATGACAATTGATCAGTTGAGGGATGACATCACGAATTAAAAACAAGAACTCGTCTCTTTGTTGGGCAAAGCTGTCAGGATACAATGAATCATCATTCTTCTGAAATGCAAGATGGAAGCATACGTATTAAGACCAATTGCTCATACATATCTACCAACTCTTTTGGTGCATTTTGATATGTTGCCAAGAAGAGAGAGTATCCATAATCTTTGAAAGAGTCGATGACTTCACCCCAGCAATCATTTGCCCATGGAATATAGAGCAGAGTCCCTGCATGATATATTTCAAAACAATTATTGATTTCATCTACTGATGTGATGGATTCATATACATATATGCATGATTAGAGTGAATATGGGCATGCATCAGCATATGATCTGTATTCCGTGTGCATGCAGCAAAACTATGACAAATATATAATGAGATACAACTGATGAGGCTAATATAACCTAACTAAAGTCTTAAAATTGAAGCATTGCCAGTCTCATCCTAATCAAATTCAACACCAAAGCTTACAAGTATGGGTTTCAAAATGAAAGATGACAGCTAGTTTCTAATTAAGACAACCTTCAAATTTTGAGTATACACAACTTCCTTCACAGCCCATCCCAAAAGAATATACTCATCAAGCTCCATTAAGGAAACTTGCTAAGCAGGTGACATAGTCCTATTGATAACCCTAATGTGAACTGACACAACCACTTATTGCCAGAAATTCCAAGGAAAACACTAACCCTCCCTGTCAATAAAGAATGAGGTAAAGATGCCAAGAGTTAAAAAATCTTCAACCTTAACAATAAGTACATGAAAATACGAGAAAATTTCATTTCTTGTCATTGTAATGAGTGAATATTAACAATGAAGTACTTACAGTAAAATTCTATGTTCTTACCCTGTAAGAGGGATTTTACTTTTATGAATTTGTTATTAGATTAGGACACATATAATTTCTTTTTGATGAAAAACATTAATAAACGTTTGTTTTTAGAATATCCTTAACTCACTGGGCTGCATCAAACTATCCTTAAATCACGAATTAGAAACAAGCACTGATCTATTCGTTGGGCAAAGCTGTCAGGATTCAGTAAATCAAACTATCCTCAAATCACGAATTAAAAACAACCACTCATCTCTTTGTTGGGCAAAGCAGTCAGGATTCAGTGAATCAAATTATCCTTAAATTCACGAATTAGAAACAAGCATTCATCTCTTCGTTGGGCAAAGCTGTCAGGGTTCAGCTAATTATTGTTCTTCTGAATGCAAGACGGAAGCATACGTATTAAGACCGAGTGATATGGATGGCTACCAACTCTTTTGGTGTGTTTTGATATGTTGCAAGGGAGGGTAAGTAATAATCATTGAAAATGTCAATGACCTCACCCCAGCAATC